CTACAAGATAATGCAATAGGTGCAACACTTTTTTATAGCATGAAGCGTCAGACCCTCCTCGTGTATTATCGATAGATCCTTTGTTTTATGATGCAGGTGGAATAATTATTCTTTCCCTCATATCATAATTGAGCTATACAATGACTTTAGATCGTTTTTTTTTTTCAGATGATTCTATATCCTTGAATGACTCACATGACATCCTTTCTATATTCCAAAGTCTTTTTTTTTCAAAATCTGTGATAACACATTGAATAGGTGCATCTGCTTACTCAATTTTCATCGTGTTCAAGCATCTATCACTATTCCCTACGCTAAATGGCGACTAATAAAGTCAAGAAGTCTTTTAAAAAATATGCCAGAAAGCACTTAGCAGATGTGATTGAGACACGGCGCAAGACTTCTAAAGCCAGAAAAGAGAAAAAGGAAAGAGTAGATCGTAAGAAGCAGCGCACCGAGAAGGAGGCTCGTCGTGAAGAAGAAGAGCATGTCGAACAACTCGAACGGCTCAAGGAAACTGACCCGGAGTTCTACTCCTACTTGGAGGAAGAGGACCCAACTCTTCTGCAGTTTGGAAACGATGACATGGAATTGGTAAATAAGGACGTGGATAGTGACACAGAGACAGAGGCAGACGAAGAAGATATAGAGGATGATCAGAAACTAGGCGACAAGGGGGATGGAGAGGAGTCGAATCCAGACTTTTCTGGTGAAAATGACCGTAATGAGGAGGGTGAGTCGAGAAGTACGGGTCGCATCACCCAGTCGGAACTAGACCAGTTGATAGGTGGTAATAAAATTGAACAGTGCATCGATATATTTGTGTCTGCTGTTCGTGAACTGGGCTATAAACTAAAGGAGAACCCCCGCTCTAGCTCTACCCGAAAGTTCGAGGATACTTCCTTAGTGAAGAAGTCCATGTTGTTGGTGGCACAACACGTCAGCAAAAACCTCAACACATTGATTACCGGAAAAGGCGCGTTCCGTTCACATAAGACTCGCTACCTCTTTAAGCGTCTGCTCTGTTCCCTTACTGCCGTCATGAACGAAGGAAGCGTAGATACGCAGTTAACGGTGGGTCTGCTGCATGCTTTCACCGTTTTTGTGCCCTTACTCCATTACGTGAAAGGGATCACAAAGTCCGTTCTTAGGTTTTCACTTTCTCTCTGCACAGTTTCGGAAGAGCCCGTGCGCATTGCAGCCTATATGATTGTCCGCGCGATTGCCACACGCGCCACTGGGACTCGCTCGATGTATCAGTCCGCAGCCTTCAAAGGCATTTTTCTAGCAGTCATCCGAACAGGGGCTCGATACAATGTTCATAATCAGGCCATCATAGCCTTTTTGATTAACTGCACCATTGACCTCTACGGGACAGACATGGAGGCGGCCTATCAACACGCCTTTGTGTATCTCCGCCAGCTTGCGGTTTATCTGAGGGCAGCGCTGCAGCAGCAGAGTCAAGGCAACGTACGCGCGGTGGTCAATTGGCAGTACCTACTAGCGCTCCGCACATGGAGTTCGGTGGTGTCGACGTATTCAGAACCGTCTCAGTTAGGCCCTCTTATTCATCCGGTTGTTCAAATCGCAATCGGTCTCATGGACCTCTTTTCGTCCCCTCGAATGTTCCCCATGCATTTGCAAATCATTGAGGTGCTCAACCATATTTCCACTCGGGCGAACGCCGTCTACATTCCGGTCGCTCCCTACCTTCTTCGGATCCTCACTTCACCAAGTGTCGCCCTATCGAACTCACCCAATGCAGCTGCCAGCACCGAGCCCGTTGAGCTGCAGTACACCATTCGGGTAAAAAAGTCTCAAGCTCGCAGCAATGTCTACCACCGGGCAGTTTGGACTGAGGTTCTCTACCTTTTCACGGAGCACTTAGCCACGCACAGCCACACCATTGGGTTTCCCGAAACGTTCTGGGCTATGAGCAGTACGCTGCGGAAGCTTCTTGGCGAGGTCAAAGTCCCCAAGATCCACTCACAGATCAGTGCGTTGCTGCGTCACATACAGAGCACGTCGCAGAGGATTGTGACCAAGCGTGACACTGTTACATTTGGCCCTTGCGACTTGTCTGCTGTGAAGCAGTTCGAGGAAGAGCTCAAGAGCCAAGGCAGCCCCCTTGAAACATACTACCGGAGCCTGCGCCAGCAGCGTGTGGAGTTGTTTGCTCAGAAACAGAAGAGTTTGTTAGGGGAACAACGCGTGACCTTGGAATCTGTGGCAAATTCGCGTAGCAAAAAAATGAAGGCTTCTAAACGCACACGCAGTGCCGCTTAGAAAAAGTGCTAGTGTGCCTTGTATAAGCATTTCTATTTAAAATAAATAAACCTTTTCCTAATCTCGTTTGTCCCATAAAGGATTTAATATTTTCGGATAAGAATGAGTTCTTTACAAGAATTAGATGTCTGTAGTATGGTAAGGTGTTTAAGGTAATGTGCCTTTCATTGGTATACAGCCATCTATGCATCTTGATCATGAATTCAACAATTAAATTGTTTGCAGTTTTTTCTTTGTACTTTAAACATTCATCGAAAGTCTATCTCATATTGTACACGTTGATAAACCATAACAAACTTGGTTTTATAGTAGACAGAGACATTAGGTCTTATGGATTCTCTCTACCGCTGGAGTGACACCACTAAGATTGGGGTCGCGCTCACTGGTCTTGGCTTCTTTTTTTCAGCTTTAGGGTTCATAATGTTCCTGGATAGTGTCCTTCTGACTATGGGAAACATCCTCTTCGTAGTGGGTGTGGCACTGGTTATGGGGCCTCTTCGTTTCAAAAACTTTTTTCTTGCGCGTTGCAGAGCATCCACTTGCTTTTTTGTTGGTATACTTCTCGTCTTGTTAGGGTGGTGCTTCCTAGGACTTCTCATTCAAGGCTTTGGAGCTTTGAATCTTTTTGGCAACTTTTTTCCTATGGTCACACGTGTGCTTGAATCACTACCTGTTATTGGTCCTATTATTCTATCAACACCAGTCCAGGCCGTTCTCATTCGATTAAATTTAACGGGAAGAAAATTTCGTTATGTCTAGATTTATCTCTTCTAATTTGAAGCTATTCTCTAGATCTGACACATTTGTTAATTGTATGGCAAAATACACTTGATCATAGCCATATAGATCTAAATATCTTCTACAGCAAATGACATTGCATCAGGAATTCTATGGAGTTTTGATTTGGGTCTGAGAAAGATGTCCCAAGATGTTTCTGTAGAACAATTCTTTTATATTGTGTTGTCCCTGGTAAACATTATTTTAGTAGAGGGACTCTTTAATTTTCTATCCATTCCTATATTATGTTATTCAACAGGAGTGTATAAAATCTTAAAACTTTGGATTCTGTATTTGATTTAAGTCTTACTTACAACAATATCACAAACACATAGTTAACTTGTATTAATACAAGTTGAAATAGTCCACCTTCTAGTTCAGAAAAATCCATTTTATAATTCTTTAGGTGTAGGCTTCATCCAAGGTAACGGTTTTAAGAGCATGCCGTTTTTACCCGTGTAGTTGTGTGCAGGGATTCTTAATACCTCACGTTTGGTGTGTGTATTCATTTATAGCTATTTTTTAGCATGTTTTGATGTGCCGTATAGGGACATACAGATTTGCATTGATCATGATCATCTCAATGAGGTGTTGTTTCTCATGGGAAATATCATAATGTGTACCAGCCCCCCTAGAAATGATTCACTCGAAAAAAAGTGAATAGTGATGAATACAAGAAAACAAGTCTTAGTTTGGTGTGTTTTATATTTTTTCTTATTCCTACAGAGATGAATTCGATAATGCTGGAAAACTTTATGCCTTTTGTTGTTATTGTCGAATTCAGACTTTAGAAGAAAAATCAAACACAAGTTTTCTATTTTTATCACCAAAATATCACATAAATTTGTTCATCTTGTAATTTAGCTGATGTCAAGGGAAATCTATTGCTTCTGTAAAAAAATTCATTACTTTATTTACTCTTTTTTTTTTATCGATACTAATATATTGCCTTTGAGCCCATTTCTTCATTTTTTTTCGATAATGATGTGATCATTTATAGACAAATTTGTTTTATTAGTGTCGGATGCCCTTGACATTTTGATTATTTGCAAAGTACACATGAACCCCTCCACGCCTGATTACGTTCCGTCGGTATTGACGAGCGACGTCTGTAATGAGGCCGAGTTTATCTTCAACACACTGCAGAACAAAGAGAAATTGGTCTCCTTTCTTGACTGCGCGACGATTTTGCGGGGAATGGGCATGAATCCCAACCAAACTGATATGGAGCGATTAAAGTCACTCATGACGGAGCCGATTCTACGCCTGGAGCAGTGGCGTCGCGAAGAGGAGTTGAAACGGGAAAAGGAGCGGCGCCGCGAAGAGGCCAGGGAGCGCAAGGGTGGACTCATGAAGTCGGTTTCAAAGCCCAATTCGACGCGTAAATCGATTGTCGAGAAAGCAATTGAGGCCTCGACCGAGAATGAGAAACAGGTTAAAATAGTACCCGTGGAGGAGCTAAAAAATATTGATTGGAATATATTTATTTCATGTACTGAAGAGATCTACCGCGATTCTTTAGTGGAGGAGAAACAAGTGTTTGATGCGTTAAAGGTATTTGCCGAGAGGGACAGTTCGCCAAAATTGATGATGTCACAAGAAAAGCTGGTTAAAGCGCTCATTTCTAATGGCGATAATGTTTTAACACCCGTCGAAATCAAGCAATTGAAGTCTCTCCTTCCAGAGCAATGTGATATAGTAGAGCTAGCCAAACGTATCCAGGGTACCTACGTCGCGCCAACACAAGATGAGCTAAATCGTATAGCCCTGGAGCAAGCAAAAACTTTTCAAATTAAGGAAGACAACAAAAAAGGTGCTTTGTCTGAAATGAATGATCCACTATATGGTATTTAGATATTTTATATTGTATTAGGCTTTATATATGAACCATCACCTTTATAATTCCTTATATGTATTTTAAGCATTTATTGTCTTTCAAATCTATTTTCCACTCATCTATATGGGTAAAATGAAGTCTAGAATGCGTGAAACGCATACCTATTTGATGTATCTTTTACTTATTATGCCCCATCCTCTTTCTGCACTTCTTTTTCTATTTCGCATAACTGAAAAATATAGCAATAGATTTCAAAATTCTTCACTATCGCTAACCTATTTTACTTATTAAAATAAATATTTCAAATAATAAACAATTTTCAGTTTTTCTCACAATGGCCGGAATGAATTTGATATTGAATATTACATGCAATCCTCCAGAAATTTCAATTTTCGGGCCCATCAAAGAGAGCACGATCGCTAAACTTAACAAAAAATTGCCCAATTCCTGTTCCACCACTAATACGGGAAAAGTACCCTTCGAAATGGTGCGAAAAGAGGATCCTCCACACTGGTATGGGGAACTTCGCTCTCAGTTCGCTAGCGACGATATCGGAAAATCGCAGCTGTTCGTGACCTTGCTGGATGCTTTGGAGGAGGACGCAGCGTGGAGCCTCCATGGGACTACTGCTATGACGCACGACAAGGAAAAATGTACATATAAATTCTTTTTTGTGCGTGGCACCCACTAAAATTCCCCATCTTTTTAAAAAAAAGGGGATGCTAAAAAGCGGTTGCTTATTGTATTCAAAAAAAAAATGCACATGTCTATTGTGTATTTTAAAAAAATGCTAGAATAATTTATGTCACTTTAATAACTTTATATTTCTACATGGGAAAACGAAAAAATGGATGTAAATGATTTACGTATGTAGTTAGCGTGTTTATATAT